GAGGAGAGACAGTGGAGGAAGATGTGGAGGTAAAGTATGAGGTAATACGAGGAAAAGAAAGTGAGGAGGGAAGGAAGTGAAAGGGGGAGAAGAAAGGAGGTGAAACCAGGACAGAAGGGGGGAGGGAAGAGGACGCTGAGAGGAGGAGAAAGGAGATGAGGAGTAGAGGAAGGTCGAGCGAGATTTTCAGACAAACACTCTCTCTCTGCAGCTCACTCTTTATAATTAGAACACACACCAGGAGAGTGTGTGTGTGTGTGTGATGCAGCGCAGCACCTGATTGGCTGAGCTGTTGGCAAGGGGCGGAGGGAGGGAGGGAGGATGGGTCTCTGCGCTCTGATTGGCTGGCCCGAGGCTCAGGGGCAGATGGGAGATTTCAGCGCAGTGCTTCTCTTCTTCTTCTTTGATTCTCCTCCTTTTTCCTCTCTTCCTTCGCTGTTCCCTCCTTCCTCCTCTCTGCTTCCACTTGTTTAACTCTGTCTCTCAACCTTTCCTTCTATGACTCTTCATTTTCTTTTCTCATCTCCTCTCTGCTTTCCTTCCTTTCTTTCTTTCCTCTTCTTTTCTCTCGTTTTAGCCACACAGAACATGTTCGACTGTTTTTAATGAAACTGCCAAATATAAAAAGAATAAAACACATAAACAAAGCTGGATCTCACTTCTGGAAAACCTGGAAATTAATTAAAATGTGCAAATATCCTGGAAATAATCTGTGTACTCTTGTAAACTCTTTATTGTATTTTAGTGTGCAACAAACACTTTTTACTTCTTCTTTTAATAAATAAGTTTTCTGTAAAGTAAAATAAATTCCACTTAATGTGAACTTTTGAGCCGTTGCCACATTAATGTTACAGTTAGAGGAAACAACTGTAGTCAGTTCACAGGAGAGCAGCAGGAATAAAACGTATCGATACATTTATATTTAGTGTTTGAGAGCGAGTGCGGTTCTAAATCAGCAAGAAAAACTCCTGGGAAATGATTTTTCAAAACGGGTGGGAACCCTGCTGAGGTTCGTCTGCACCGAACTCAACACTGAACCAATGAGTCGAAGCTCTGTGAGATTGAGGATCTGCAGTTTCCACTGGGTTCTGTCGGTTCTGGTCGGACCGTTAATGTCCTCCAGCTGAGTCGGAGCAGACGAGACCTTTCCGCCGCCTCCTCGGTTCATTTAGGAGCAGCTGAACGAGGCGTTCGTGAGCCCGTCGCCGGAGGAACAGTCAGTGATCCTCCTGTGAGTGACGTCAGGAGCTGCAGCTGCGAAGGTTCATTAAACGACTCGTCAGAAATCCCACAGGAAGTTTAAAAAGCACAACGCCACCGAGAGCAACAGGAGAAAGTTTTTAGAAGTTGTTTCAACCCCAAATAAAATTCTGTATCGTCCATAAATTGACTGAAATCTGATGTTCGGTGTTTCAGGATTTGTCCGGCTCCATCGATGACTTGCCCACCGGCACCGAGGCGGCGGTGAGTTCAGGGGCGTCGGGCTCCGGCAGCGCTCAGGGCGACCAGGGGACCCCGGCCCGCTCTCCTTTCTCCCCTCACGTCTCGCCTCGACTCCCCCCACCAGCTCGCACCGGGCCCTCGCCCTCACCCTCGCCGTCCCCCGCTGGATCCAGCAGCCAGTCGCGATCCGGACCGATGTCTCCCGCCACCAGCGGACCAGGTAGGCAAATGATGTCACTTCCTGTCTGTTTAAAACAGGATAACTGAGGCCTCATAGGGAGTATTAACTCTGTTTGTGTCTCCCTCTCAGGCTCTCAGCTGACCCCTCAGGTCTCTGGTCCTGGATCAGATGCTGTTCCTCATCCCTCCCAGTCCGCCATGACTCAGGACAGAGGTACGACTCATCAGTGTGACAGAGGGGATTCATTGTTCATGTTCTCACTGTTAAATATATCCAACCATCATCATTATCCGTCTCTTTGATAAATAATCTACAGGCCTTTTAGAGTTTCTCTCTGTGTGTGTCTGCAGCAGCTCTGAGGAACATTCCTGAAAGCTAAAAGAGGAAAAGTCGTGTAATCCTCTGATTCATCCTCTGGGGCAGCAGTTCCCAGTAGAGACGCAGTCAGTCTGGTAGCTGAGAGATTTAGTCATACTAAATTCTAAATCAGGCCTACGCGTCCTGGAAAACCTGGAAATGCAGTTTTCCAGTAATGGAAACGCCCAGAAATGTATTAAAAAAGTTAAAATATCCTGGAAATAATCTCTGTTGTCCTGGAAACCTTCAAGTCGTACATATCCTGTCTTCTCTTCAGGTTTCCCTCCCTCCATGCAGCGTAGCACCCAGGGGCCTCAGTTTGGCCCCCAGCAATCTGCACCACCCATGTCTCCTCACTCAGCGCCGGGGGGGCCCATGCACCACGGCTCCTACCAGCAGGGCGGCTCATATGGCCAGTACGGCCCCCCAGGTACGCACCGCAACCTGAAGGAAAAACAGTAAAACATAAAAGTAACAGAAGTGAGACAGTTTCTGTAAACGTGTCCTCCTTCTGTCTCCAGGTAACTTCCCTCGCCCCCCCCACTATGGCGGAGCCCCCAGTGCCAACTACAACAGCCCCGGCCCGGGCCCCGGCTTGGCCAACAGCCTGGGGTTGAACGCCAGCAGTCCCATGCACGGTCAGGGCCCCTCCACCCCGGCAGGTCGCGGCCCAGGGCCTGGCCCCGTGGGCGGCCTTATCACGCCGGAGGGAGCGTCATGGCCCCCACCTCCCCCGGTATGCCACAGCCCGCCGGGCAGGGCATGGGTCCTCCGGGGCCCAACGGCAGCCGCAAACCTCCCGAGGTCGGCCCCAACGCCGGGCCGAGTGCCAACTCCTCGTCCTCCTCGGTCGCTGCCACGGCCGCCCAGGGCAGGTGAGTCTGGGAAATCTGAACTATTCCAGGAAAGTTTAAACATTGGACAACCAGAATCTGTTTAAATATTCCTAAAGAACTTTAAACTTAACATTCAGTCTTCTTGTTGCTGCGGTAAGAGATGAGCCTTGAAGGAGTGAAACACAATGGATTTAAATGGCGACACAAAGTTCAACCTAATAATTCTATAATCTGATAAATAAAATAGATTTTGTAGATTGTGAAATAAATCCTCATTTTGTTAAAAGCAATCGTTACATCCCTTTAATTTCACAAAACATTATATCCTGTATTTTTTATCACTAATACGGTACAGGGTATCGGTGTAGCGCTGCAACCCTTCTACACTCCTGTCAACGCCTGTTTACTAGTTGTTTACTAGTTGTTTACTACATTATTACCAATAAAAACAGTTTTTAGATAATTTGAGATTTGAAACTTGCTGCAGAGAGGAGATCCTTTGGCAAAGATTAAAGGTGCCTCCTGTTAAGAGGAGAGCAGGTTTTGGGTCTTAATTTGGCTGCGAGCAATAAA